CTACGAGTAACGGGTATAAATACATGAAGTTATCTATTTTACAGGAAAGACTGAGCATTCAATTGACAAATGTTTAGCCCTTGGCTTCCGTTTCGCATAGTTATTTCAGCTTGACAAATAAAAACCTTCATAACTATATAAAACATTTACAAACATTTGACCATAAATTTGAGCGTTATTGGCACATATTAAACACACACACTAGAATTATATTATACTAACATTTAAGATTGTACATACATACAAATTATTATTAACATAAACAAAGATTAATTAAGAGCGGCAGCCAAAAGAGAAGAGAGATATTCAAAGCATAGAGCATAGAGTAAGAATCTACGAGGTGTGTTCAAAAAGTACCCGGAATTTTTAAATTACGCCGGTCTGGAGAGTCTGAATTTAATTTATAATTTGTTAGTATAATGCCCCTAATGTATGGTAAAATTTTCAGCTATATTCACTGTTTACTTTTTCTGTGGTAGTCGATGAGGTTTGACGTGTTTTACGATAGCAAATGAAATCTCTATATATATTCTTACTCTATGCTCTCGAGGGACTTTTCCAGCGAATCCACGTAGGGGAACAAAGGAAAAACAAGAAAGGAAAGCTAACTTCGGGCGGAGCCGAAGTTGAAATACCATTGCAGAATATTCTGCAAACTATATTCTCCAAAATTATTTATATGATGCATTCTTAATACTCATAAAAAATCCCACCTTCCTAACTTTAAAAACACCAAAGTTATGGCATTATGGCAGCTACAGGATATAGTCGGCCGATCCATATGAAATTTGGTAGGTCGGATTAATTGGCCAAATATAAAACCCATAGAAAGTCCCAACTTCCTAACTTAACAATCAGCAGAGTTATGGCATTTCCGATCAATCAGTTATATGGCAGCTATAGGATATAGTTGGCCGATCCCGGCCGTTCCGACTTATATACTGCGTGCAAAGGAAAGAAAGGTGTGTGCATAGTTTGAATTCGATATCTTTAAAACTGAGAGACTAGTTCGCGTAGAAACAGACAGACGGACAGATGGACAGACGGACATGGCTATATCAACTCAGGAGGTGATCCTGATCAAGAATATATATACTTTATAGGGTCGGAGATGTCTCCTTCACTGAGTTGCACACTTTTGACCAAAATTATAATACCCTCTGCAAGGGTATAAAAAGAGAGTTTTTCATTTGTTTGATCGAACTTCATTCAAGTCCCATGGTGAATACTTATTCCTGCTCTGTTCACTCTTATTCCTAAGGATTGGTGCGAGAACTTCCCATACTATTGTTTGTGCCTCGCACATGTTAGGGGTGGTGAGAAACCGAAGTTAGCTTCGAACATATCTCTCAGCAGAGCTTTGGCTTAGGTGCGGGCAGAGCAAATAAAACCTCTATATAGTTTCTTACTCTATGCTTATTTTATGCTATATTAGTATAGTGGCGCCATCGGAAATGAGCTTTGGGTGCTCTGTAAGTAAGCCAAAAAGATGGCGCCACTTTATAATGAAAATACCTACCGGATAATTTTTAAACCATGGGTAGCTTGATTCTCCTGTTGGATAATAAAATATTATCACATTTTTCACGCGTTTGTTAGACAAACATAATCCAATTCATTATATGCGATATTTAACCGATAGATTTTTGTGCTACTCTAAATTCTTGGCGGAAATTAAATTTATTAAGAAGTAATAATAAGGGAATTCGGTCCATATATAGACATGTATGTATGTATTCATTAATTATTCCCATGTTTTGAGAAAATTTTTTTACAGTGGGAGAATTATATGGAGAAATGAGAAAAGGGTACGTTCCAGTACTCAAGCCAATACATTAGCCACGTCACGAACCTTTGCTTTTTTTTCAATGTGATTTAAAGCTCACAAGAGTTTTAAATTTAGCTGGGCAACACTTGCAGCTAAACAAAGCCTAGTACTCAGATCGACGAACATTGTACGCCACTCATGAGAGAGAGCGAGAGGCAAACAGCTGGCGTTCACTTTTCGTCAGGCTTTTTTTCAACTCGGTGTTCAAATCGACGAAAAAAATACCAGAAAATTACTTCGCTCTGCCAACCGCCTGAAGTGAACTTTTGGTGAACCCTAGCGAAAAGAATCAAAAATGTTAAAGCCTAGTATCCAGATCGACAAACGATTACGCTAGCGTAAAAACTTTAATCTTTCCAGTGTGACCAAAGTTTCGAGAGTTCATCAGATTTAAGCGTGCTACGGTCGTACTGTCAATCAGCTGGGTTTGTTGACAAGCAGTTAAAATTCAAATATCGTATTTGCGGGAAAGAGCCTTTAAAAGATATTATCAAATACCTTGGCAAGACAAGTCTGCCGCTGTACAAAGAAATTGAAAAACAATACAATTTAAATTTAACAGTTGTTTTTTTTAATTTACTGATAATTATTTGCTAATTTAAAGTTCATAGCTGCACTTTTATTGTGTTTTTTCGTACATTCTGGACCTAAAAAACATTTTGCTCTGACAAGAGGCACCCCAGATAGTATTAATGTTATTTTTTCCTCACATGTAAACACCTGCAATCGACTTTTGTGAGTTTTTTGAGTTTTTCCCTCCATTGCTTATAATGTTCAGTGAGAAGCGCACGCCAAAAGATTAAATTTTTTAATCTTTTCGCTAGGGTTCACCCAAAGTTTATTTCCGCAGACTGGCAACGCTATGGAATTTTCTGGTATTTTTTCATAGATCAGGGGACCGACGTGAAAAAAAGGCCCGACGAAAAGTGAACGCCAGCTGTTTGCCTCTCGCTCTCTCTCATGACTGGCGTACGGTTTTCGTCGATCTGGATACTAGGCTTAAGCCTAGTACTCAGATCGATAAACGAGTATGCTAGCGTAAAAACTTTAATCTTTCCAGTGTGACCAAAATTTCGGGAGTTCATCAAATTTAAGCGTGCTACGGTCGTACTGTCAATCAGCTGGGTTTGTTGAAAAGCAGTTAAAATTCAAATATGTTATTTGCGGGAAAGAGCCTTTAAAAGATATTATCAAATACCTTGGCACGACAAGTCTGCCGCTGTGCAAAGAAATTAAAAAACAATACAATTTAAATTTAACAGTTGTTTTTTTTTAATTTACTGATAATTATTTGCTAATTTAAAGTTCATAGCTGCACTTTTATTGTGTTTTTTCGAACATTCTGGACCTAACAAACATTTTGCTCTGACAAGAGGCACCACCGATAGTATTAATGTTATTTTGTCCTCACATGTAAACACCTGCAATCGACTTTTGTGAGTTTTTTGAGTTTTTCAGTGAGAAGCGCACGCCAAAAGATTAAATTTTTTAATCTTTTCCTTAGGGTTCACCCAAAGTTCATTTCCGCACACTGGCAACGCTATGCAATTTTCTGGTATTTTTTTCGTCGATCTGAGGACCGAGCTGAAAAAAAACGTTGACGAAAAGTGAACGCCAGCTGTTTGCCGCTCGCTCTCTCTTATGACTGACGGACAGTTTTTGTCGATCTGGGTACTAGGCTTTATCTTTAGGCGTGCACTTCGCACTGAACATTTTAAAAAATGGAGGGAAAAAATCAAAAAACCCGGAATAGTCGATTCCAGGAGTTTACATGTGAGGACAAAATAACATTAATACTATCTGGGGTGCCTGCTGTCCGAGCAAAGTGTTTCTTAAAGCCTAGTATCCAGATCGACGAAAACCGTACGCCAGTCATAAGAGAGAGCGAGAGGCAAACAGCTGGCGTTCACTTTTCATCGGGCCTTTTTTTCACGTTGGTCCCCTGATCGACGAAAAAAATACCAGAAAATTCCATAGCGTTGCCAGTCTGCGGAAATGAACTTTGGGTGAACCCTAGCGAAAAGATTAAAAAATTTAATCTTTTGGCGTGCGCTTCTCACTGAAAAACTCAAAAAACTCACAAAAGTCGATTGCAGGTGTTTACATGTGAGGACAAAATAACATTAATACTATCGGTGGTGCCTCTTGTCAGAGCAAAATGTTTGTTAGGTCCAGAATGTTCGAAAAAACACAATAAAAGTGCAGCTATGAACTTTAAATTAGCAAATAATTATCAGTAAATTAAAAAAAAACAACTGTTAAATTTAAATTGTATTGTTTTTTAATTTCTTTGTACAGCGGCAGACTTGTCTTGCCAAGGTATTTGATAATATCTTTTAAAGGCTCTTTCCCGCAAATACGATATTTGAATTTTAGCTGCTTGTCAACAAACCCAGCTGATTGACAGTACGACCGTAGCACGCTTAAATCTGATGAACTCTCAAACTTTTGGTCACACTGGAAAGATTAAAGTTTTTACGCTAGCGTAATCGTTTGTCAATCTGGATACTAGGCTTAAGTCAAAAATATACGAAAAAACACAATAAAAATGCAGCTATGAGCTTTAAATTAGCAAATAATTATCAGTAAATTATAAAAAACAAACTATTAAATTTAAATTTTATTGTTTTTTAATTTCTTTGTGCAGCAGCAGTTTTGTCTTGCCAAGGTAGTTGATAATATCTTTTAAAGGCTCTTTCCCGCAAATAACATATTTGAATTTTAACTGCTTGTCAACAAACCCACCTGACTGACAGTACGTAGCACGCATAATTCTGATGAACACTCGAAATTTTGGTCACACTGGAAAGATTAAAGTTTTTACGCTAGCGTAAACGTTTGTCAATCTGAGTACTAGGCTTAAATAACACCTAAAATGCAAGTGATCGAAGAGTGGAAGTGCTGGAGGAGTCCCACAGGAGAAGCGTGCCTCTTGTCAGAGCAAAGGTTTTCTTAGGTCAAAAATGTACAAAAAACACAATGAAAAAATTTAAAAATGTGCTGTTAGAACTAAGTGCAGCTTTGAACTTTATATTAGCAAATAATTATCAGTAAATGGTCTACCCTACCCGTATCGGCTGATAAGGTAAAGTTAATCGATGGTTGCTGGAAAAACATCGATGTTGGAAAATTTCTGAAATCATCGATAATATCGGGAAAACATTATTTTTTGTACCAGCTCTGGTCACACGGTCACAAATTTCGTAAACATTAAAAAGTAGCATCGCAGTATAATAGTAGGATAATGTCGCAAATACAGTAGTAAAAAGAACAAGAATGGAGGTGTTCCAGACCGATTCGCACTATATCTTCGTGAAGCGGGACAAGAGTTTGTGGTGGCATCGTAGGACGTCGGAGTTCTCGATTAAAGCTGGTAAGTTAAAGGTCTCAAAACTGTCGAATCTAATGAATCATTTTGCTGCCTTTGTGTGTGTGGGGCTATGTGCAATGTTTGTATATTAACCTAAGTACAAAATTCTTCTTAATTTCATTTGAATAAAATATGCATCTTATATGTACTTTGAATGAGTATTTGCAACTTCATAAAAAAGGAGTTGTTTGTTAAGTCCGTATGTCTGAAAAGTTCTACATATGTATGTATATTTCAAGGGCGCAAGCCTTAAAAGATTATTTGATGAATAACCCCGGAAGCGGGTTTATTTGTTAATACCACTAGGGATTAGTAAATAATTATCACGAATTTCTAAGAAATTAATTAGATTTCCAATGTCTTTTATATTATAGGCCTTATTTTTATTTTGGTAATCATTTATCATGTACCTGGGTATACATTCGCGCAATTTTCCCTTTAATTCAATTGACAATCTGCTGTGTCTATTAAAAGCTCATATAAAATAAACAACAAACTGGAAATGTGTCTGAAGCCGTAATTGCTTGTTTAATGTCCAGCAATTACATTTGGGTCAATTTGCTAACACGCAACCTGTCGCATTTTGTGGAATCCGACAATATTTCCTTCAAGTCCTGAATCCATTGGGATGGCCACTTTCAGTTTTTAGTGACTCATCCGAGGCGTGACCCCTGACCCATCCGCAGTCCATAAATCTTTGCCAAGGTCACCGCAGCTGCTCCGCCCGTCAATTTTCGTTGTTTGCCAAAAACGTTTGTCCGCATGATGAAAGGTGGTATGCCACCCAAAATATCTCCTAATTTATAAGGGCCAACGCTTTTCAATCGATTTTACAGCCAACAGTAGTCAACCGGAAGTTTAGACAGTTTTCGGTTCCATCTTATATAGGTTAACAAGATATGCCGGAAAGCTAGATAAGATTAGTACGCCTTAAAAATATTCCACCAACTTCTTAACCATACCAAAAGGATGGTACATTGCTGTTTTCAGTTGTGATGGAAGTGGGCATAGTTTTGGGATTGAGAGCACAGTAATGAGCAGTTGTAAACCGAAGGGGAAATAATTCCACACGTAACGCCCCAGATGCAAATATGTAATCCGAAATTACAGGCTTTGGCATTTAAAGTCAGCCATTATTAGACAGCTGTCAAAAATGGTCCTCCCTTGACACGTAATGTTTTTATTATTTTAGCTTGCTAAGTTAATTATCAGCTGTGGAAGATTGTTTTAATCAGAGGCGTATACCAATAAAGTCTGATAAACACAAAGATTTTTAAAAGAGAGCGGTTTGGGAAGGCACTCACGAACCTACCAAAGTATATAGTATACAAAACAATTCGTTTCAACTTACATAAAATTCATTTTAAATATTTATTAATATCCTTCGACTTTTATCTCAGGATGGGACCTCAGTTCTGTGGACGACATCGAGTGCATTGGTGTAACACATGGCATTGTGGGGGTGATTTCGCTGTCCAATGTCTATGAGCCCCATTTGATTGTGATCAAGGAGGCATTGGCAGTGGGTGTGCTATATCCACCTCATTTGGTGTACAAGATCAAGTCCATATGCATACTGAGTGGCGAGGAACCAGACACCGATTTGCTGATCTGCACCAAGCACGCCAAGTAATTCGAGACAATCAATACGTGTATTCATTAACGATTTATTTTGTTTTTTCCAAACTAGGAGCAGCCAGTGCACTCCCACCCACAGCGTCTCCTCCTCGAACAACAACGATGCCAGCGTTCCGGTGAGCAGCGGTGGCTCCTCTAAGAGCACCAAGCTGTTCGAGGGTATGAACAAGACGTGGGGTGCCGTGAAAAGTGCGGGTAACACTATTAAGGCCACCACTCAGCAAGCTGCGAATTTGGCCACTAAGCAAGTTAAGTCTTCAGTGGGGTTCAAGGAACCGAAGCACATCGAACGGCGCATTACCGAGGAGCTGCATAAGATATTCGACGAGACGGATAGCTTCTATTTCAGCTTCGACTGCGATATAACCAACAATTTGCAACGTCACGAGGCCAAATTGGAGGAGAATCAGTCGAAGCCGGATGAACGATTTTTCTGGAACATGCACATGATACGGGATTTGCTTAACTTGAATGTGACTAGCTGAAAATGCCTTTAAAAATTATTCAAAGGTATTAAACTTTACTTTTTTGCAGGATAAAACATGGATACTGCCCATCATTCAAGGATTTATGCAAGTTGAGAATTGTGTAATAGGCAACGAGTGCTTTACATTGGCTTTAGTGTCGCGAAGATCACGTCATCGAGCGGGAACACGGTAGTTTTGTTAAAGTTACGCGTTCGATTCACTTATATATAAATTAAGCTTTAAATTAACAGGTACAAGCGACGTGGCGTAGACGAGAAAGGAAATTGTGCTAATTACGTAGAGACAGAACAAATACTCTCCTTCCGCCACCACCAGTTGTCCTTCACCCAAGTGCGTGGTTCCGTGCCGATCTACTGGAGCCAGCCTGGATACAAGTACCGACCCCCGCCCCGCCTTGATCGTGGGGTGACCGAAACGCAACAGGCCTTTGAACTCCACTTTACCAAGGAGCTGGAGACCTACGGGCGCGTGTGCATCGTCAATCTGGTGGAGCAGAGCGGAAAGGAGAAGACCATAGGAGATGCCTATGCTGATCACGTTATTAAGTTTAACAACGAGCTGATGATCTATGTGACTTTCGATTTTCACGATTACTGGTAAAACCGAAAACCTATACTGATAGAATCCCACTGAACCTCATCCACCAACCAACAGTATCATGATCATACATTTTTATACCCTTGCAGAGGGTATTATAATTTTGGTCTCCGACCCTATAAAGTATATATATTCTTGATCAGGATCACCTCCTGAGTTGATATAGCCATGTCCGTCTGTCTGTTTCTACGCAAACTAGTCTCTCAGTTTTAAAGATATCGAATTGAATTGCACACACCCTTCTTTCCTTTGCACGCAGTATATATGTTGGAACGGCCGGGATCGGCCGACTATATCCTATAGCTGCCATATAACTGATTGATCGGAAATGCCATAACTTTGCTGTTTTTAAAGTTAGGAAGCTGGGATTTTTTATGAGTATTAAGAATGCATCATATGAATAATTTTGGAGAATATAATTTACAGAGTTTTCTGCAAGGGTATACCAACTTCGGCTCCGCCCGAAGCTAGCTTTCCTTTCTTGTTAAGGGGGATTTCAGCTGTTTTAAAAATACACTTTCCTTCCTTTATTTTTAATGCGGTAAGACAATTGTTAAAACTACAACTATTCTGTTGTATTACTTAACTTTCCACATAACCACTGGTTAAGAGAAATTTAGAAGGGCAGACATGTGAACTCAAATTAATTTTCCCAAGAATATAGGTTCGTACTGAAAAAACATTTCTTTAGGAACGGTATATGCAGATGGTGGACCATTCTGAAAATAGGGGAAGGATCGTGATCTGTGATCTTTAGGTGTGAGATGTATTAGTTCAGTCATGTAAGATCAGAAACTATGACATACTTATTGGATTTTTGTTTCAGCCGTGGCATGCGCTTCGAGAATGTTTCGGCCCTGATCGATGCAGTGGGACCTGAGGCAGGTGCAATGGGTTTCCACTGGCGGGATCAGCGGGGAATGATATGCAACCAAAAGTCCGTGTTTCGGGTGAACTGCATGGACTGCCTGGATCGAACCAATGTAGTGCAAACAGCTATTGGAAAGGCGGTGCTTGAATCTCAGCTAGTAAAACTAGGACTCTCGCCACCCTACACTCCCATTCCGGAGCAACTGAAGTCACCTTTTATGGTGCTATGGGCCAACAATGGGGACATTATAAGTCGACAGTATGCGGGCACCAATGCCTTAAAGGTAATAACATAACATATTAATGGTATTTTTGCTAAACCTATTCTACAACAGGGAGACTATACTCGTACAGGCGAACGCAAAATAAGCGGCATGATGAAAGACGGCATGAACTCGGCCAATCGGTTCGTATAATCCTACATTATATCCACTATTTGTGTTTTTTGCTGTTTCTAAATTTGTTCCATTATTATTATGTTAATTGATCCATATCAGAATCATTAACCCGTAATTAGGCTCCTCTTTGTTATACAAATTTCAAAATAGTCTTTGCCATCTACAAACAATTAGCTTATTTTGGAAAATTTGAAGTCTTTACTAATGCTGCATGCCTGTTTCCCCATACATAAACCAATTTAAAGAGAATAATTTTATGTTTTCCGTCTTAAACTCGAAACCCAAATTTAAGCAATGGGTATCTTCCTAACACCATCATATACCGATGCAACGACCCCTAGCTAATGCCGTGCCGAAATTCTTCGTAGCTTTTTCATACAAAACTTTGCCGACTCGTTTCGCCAATGTATCATCGATCTGATGCAGGGCCAGTTGCTGCGGGCAGAAGAGCTGCAAGAGGACGAGGTGCTGGACACCATTCTCCAAATCCTCACTCCAGAGTCACGTGCCCCGCTTCGTGGCTATTATAATCCTGGTGTGTTGGGCCCCGAGCTGCAGTTTCTTGAAACCATCGTTGCAACCAGGTGCGCAGCTATGAGGCAATACCAAGATGGAGTAGACGGCAATGCAAACCAGCCAAGGCAGTTACAGTTTTTAGTTCCTTTAATTGTTATTTATCCTTTGATTCTTATTTCGCAAAAGGTACTTTTCCCACACTTAAGCCTTATTCTAATCTACCATTCGCACATCCGCTTATTTTTTGAACGGTGTTTTTTGGTTTCTAGTTAATGAAATGTTGGTACTTTTAGTTATTACTTGGCGCGCTTTAAGGACTCTTATCGCCAGGCCACCATTGATCTAATGCTAGGCAACCAGGTCTCCTCGGAATCACTAAATGCTTTGGGCGGCCAAGCAGGCCCGGATGAAAACGATGGAACGGAAAATGCGGAGCATGCCAAGTTGCTGGTGGAAGATTGTCGTCGCCTGTTGCTGGGAACGGCTCAGTATCCCGTTGGAGCTTGGGGACTCATTGATGCTGATCCAAGGTAAGTTGAAGTAATGTATGTTGAAAAAGAGATGTATTAACTCATATTACACTACAAATATGCGCCTAATGTGAGTGGTGGTTAAACTTTTTTAGTTGGTTAAGTGAAACTAAAGCTGTCTGTCATGGCGAGCATATAACTCGAACAGTCTAGACGCTATTTTGACTTGAAAAATTCGAGTTTATGGAAATACATGTTTACAAATAGAATACACCGGTTCTTACATTTTGCAGCTCTGGAGATGCAAACGAGACGGAGGTCGATTCCATACTGCTGCTCGCGGACGACTGCTATATAGTGGCTGAATACGACTCGCACCTGGATAAGATTTTCCGGTTTGAGAAGGTGCAACTGACGCAGGTGCATCTCATAGAGCTAGGCATGCATCAACAGACGAAAATCTTCCAGGGATCCGCTTCAGCGCACCTTTGTCTGCGTCTTAACTACAACGTGGAGGAGCAGGAGGGCTACTTTCACATGTTCCGCTCGGCAAATCTGAGATTCTTTAACAACATGGCTTATGTGATCAAGACGCAGGAGGAGCTAACTGAATCCCTGACCTCCATTGTCGAGATGTTCCGCATTGCCCTAGATAATGCTGGGAATACAGACGTTCGCTACGTTACGGGTGGTGTTCTGCAGAGAAGGAAAAGCAAGCTGCCCTCTTTGGATGTCCCCAGGGGCATTCCTCGCAATCTTTCTGAATCTCAGCTGGTGCAGCTCAGCTCAAAAGCTCTTTCGAATGTGGCGGGTCAGTTCTCGAAACTGGGCCAGACCTTTAAGAAGTCACCAAGCGCCACCCAACAGCAAGCGCATCCCAGCAGCTTGGCAGCCACCATAAACCCGCAAGTGATGCGTCAGTCAGGAGGTAACGAAATTGAGTGTGGTCAGGAGGCGGAAAAGGCAGTATTTACTTTGGGTCTCAAGCAGCGAAATTCAAACAGCGCCAGCAGCACCGATACCGATGAGCATGACAACAGTTTGTACGAGCCCGAGGTCGACTCCGATGTGGAGATAGGGCTGGATAAGTCCAACTACAACGAGAATGCCTTTCTGCCGTCGGTGGGCATTGTCATGGGCAATCAGAAAGAGAACTCACCCAGCTCCTCCGATGAAATTCGACATTTGGAGCAAAAGAACAGCATGTGTAAGACCGCTGAGGATGTGCTAACCATTTCCATTACCTCCGTGACGGATCACGTTGGTCTCCCCACGGGACTGCTGGAAAATGCCCCGCCAATTCGACCCATCACGCCCAATCCGCTGATCTGTGTACAAGCTCAGGAAGCTTTTGACGACGGGGAGGAAGAGGTGAAGCCTCTGTCCAGGTCTGTATTCTACAATTGATTATTGGTTGTAGACCTATTTTCGGTTAGAGCTTTGAGTTATGTATTTTGTTGTTTGTAGTACCCATTGTAAATGTATTTATAGCCTTTGGTCAGTCCTTCTCGATTCAAGCTCAAAGTATTATTATGATTCCTCTATGCGTATAATGTGTTGATCTTTATATTAAATACCTAAGACTAGCATGTATTATTGTAAAAAAAAAACAGAAATAAAACTGCCTGCTCCATACCACATACACTCGGGCTGTTTCCGGCCAAAATCGCAAAAAATAAAAGTATTCAGTTAAAGCTTAGCCGTGTTTCTTTTGTAACCTGTTTGCTGATGCGATTTCAGTACGTCACCCAGAGATCTTAGCCTTCCTGTGGGATTGCCCACTCAGCCCGAAGCCAACAAATTGAAGCAGCTTACCAGTCCGCTCTCAAAACTGGCAAGAAACATTGGTCTAAACCTAGATCCCCGCAAGATAGCCACAAAGGTAAAATACAATGATACTAAGGAGATATTTTATTTCTTAAATATTATTCATTTTTTTATAGACCGTAGTCTCCACACCCACCTCTGTTTCCGTCGAGAACTCTCCGTCAGAACCTGGTCCAAACTCAAGGGATCATCTGCTGGAGCTGTGGAAAGCCGAGAACTGCAAAACCAAATTGATAGCCCTATAAATGGGTCAACATGCAGCAATACCAGAAGCTCCCCACTTTCGAATTAATTAGTGCAAGTGATATATTTACTTAGAAAAACAAAACGGAACTAATGGTTCTACCTCTTCTTCGATGCACTAACATTTATGTCATATTTGGGAAAACAAATTAAAGAAAGGTCAACGATTTAGAGGTTCATATAATGTAGATAATATTTTTGATGTAGTGTAATGAGTTAATACTTTAGGGGGTTACACACTGAAGAATTTTCAAACAATCGATATTAACTGTTTCCTTTATATGAGGTAAGGTAAAGCAATCAGCCTGCTATCAGCAATTAGCAATTTTCTCGAATCATGGTGTTTCAAATCGACACGCACCCTATGCCAAACGAAGGAAAACTGATGTATCGCCGTTTTAGATTTATTTAACTAAAAAAATTTGGTTTTTACTTCAATATTATTAAACATATATCCAATATACCAACAAATAAGGAAATAACTGTATACAGTGGCGTAACTCCCTATGGTAACCAAAAATAAGGTTCGACTTTTTCCACTGCAAGGTTGACTGGTTTTGGTACAAACTGGCTGATATAGAATATTTCAAGCACAACTGCACTTCAGATTTTGATCGCTTTAATTGTAGGAATTTGTTTAATTTATAATGTATGATTTATAAAGCTAAAATGTGATTTAATATTTTTGGCAGTTCGTTTCCTTTTATTAATTTACTACAAGAAAATACCTAAATTATAATATAAATTCAAATTGAATTAGAATGGAATACTCCTGACGACGTAAAACTATTTGATGATTTACTTCAAAAAGGAATATCACCCTTTGTATATTAAAATAAATTAGCCTGCTCATTTTATAAAGTTATATCTTGTTGTTCTGTGCTAATACAGAAGTTTATTCTACTTTCTGCAATCAGCTTCGACAGTTATGCTTAGAATTTAGTAGATATCGACTTACAGTTATACGTAAGTCATGTTTGAAAATTAGAAATTCCATGAAATGGAACAAGAAGTCAAGACAAACAAATGATTTGAAGACCGCCAATTTTTTACACGTCACACTAACAATAAAACGATTTCACATTTTGGTTAGAAATTAAACCAAATAATAAAACAAGCGTATTGGTTAACGAATTGTGCATGAGAATTGAGAGGATTTCAGAAAAGCCAACAAATGATCGACGAATTATACACATACATTTAGCATAAGAATTCCATCAATAATACTCTGTAGTGTGTTTGTAAATTGATGAATATTTTATGCTACGTCATACAATTAAAACTACGTAAGCGCCACCGAGTATATGAAATATATGTGTTTAAATGCTTAACATGTGATTTGTGTATGCCAACTATGAACCAATGGAAACTACTGTAAGTGGGAACAATTTTTGACTTGGCTATCAAAAACGCAACACGTCAGTGTCAAGTTGTGGCCAGTTCCTAGATGAGGCTTGTTTACATAAGCGATAAACAAAATGGCAGCCCGGCACCAACCCCTGAAACACTCTGGGCCAAGTGGAAATCAAAAATCCATTAAAACATCACTGAAGCGGACCCTGTAATACTGTCAATCAGCTTACACATACACAAGTGTCTCTATTGATATTGGACCTTATTTATGCGAACTTTGGACCAACTCGTCTGCAACTTTTGGCCCGCCAGTTGATAAGAGCCACACGCTGTTGCGGATGCGGATAAGGATGCTTCTGTTCTTTGATGACCAGGAGCTTCGTCCAATATCATGCTAATGTGTACGCACAGTTGCATCAATTGTTTTTCAATCAAAGTGCCATCAATCTTATTGGCTGTTTGTTTAATTAACGTACGCATTGTCTACCTACGGAAACAAAACCGAAAACCGAAAACGAAAGAGGAAAGTGGAAAATGGATGGGTGGATGTCAGCTGGGTAGGAAATACGTAGAAAAATTTCATGCCAATCCATTTGACCCCCAGTCACGCCTGATTGCCACACACCCTCCGCCCGAATCAAGGATGCACTGCTTGCCGAGGTGCCTGGCATTTTTCTTTCGCATTTCACTTCTTAACTTTGTCCGTGTCTTTTGCGTCCATTAAGTGTGTCTGTGCTAAGACTTGGAAATTGTCTTTTGAATGTTTCAATTACACGCCTTCTTAAGCACAGCTTCCCTTTCAAATTGAACCAACTCCACAAGACCCGTCCGGCATCTATGTTCGGATGGGCGGACTGCCGACGTCGAGGAGTGATCAGGGCTGCCTTTCCTTCAGTGTTTGTCTCCTTCGTTTTCGTTTCGGTTTGGCTCGGTTTTTATGCGCCAATAAAGTGAAATGCGAAGATAGTCAGAGGATTTACTGCCTTTTTGGAGTAGGCTACATGGAACTTAGTGTGCATGTGCATGTGTGCCGCCTTAAACTCCCATCCCATTCCCTGGCCAATTTCGTTAAACACTTTTGCCTTAAACCATTAATTTCCTATACGTTTGACTTGTACGTGCTGGCAACGAATCCCTGCATCCCAAACCTCTATGGAAAGTTAATTTTATTGCTAAAAGCGGGTTAAGTGCTTGGCGCACAGCTGAGTGCCTCGCCACACTTATGTGGGTCGGGTTTTGGGTGGTCCGTGATAGAAATCAAATTTGCTTTATGGTATGTATGCTAATTTGCTGTCCGGTTCGGGCTGGGTCATGGAACGCAGAGTCCTCGGTACACTTGATGGGCCTTTAATCTCGGATTGATCGGGTGCTTGTATTTTGCGAATTCACTTGGAAGTTACTGCAGATAAAACTAATCATTAACATTTCTGGGATTGGTTCCACAATGAGCACTATACTTAAAAACGCACTGCAGGTTCGACAGTTTAGGCAAAGGCGGCATCAAGGAAAGATTTATTTAACTTTCTTTAATTTAATTTTTTTGTTATTATGAAAAAATTAAAATTTTTCTAAAATTCTTAACTGAACATTTTTATACGGAGGGTATTTTGGTAAGATATTCGTATGACAGAGAAGAAAACCTTTCTGACAGAGCTTTAATCATACAAAACCATACACAAAGAGGGAAATATTTTCATTTTGGAAAGAGCGTTAAAATCATATTAATTTAATCCAAAAAGCTATCCCCTTAAAAAAATGTTCGTTATTATCGTACCAACAACAAGAAAAAACTGTTATTAAATTTTGTGATAAAAAATAATTATACATTCTGAAAAACAAATATTTCGTTTTTTTAACAAGGTTTTATTTGGCAAACTGCTACAAAAAATACTGATTTAGCTAAAGAAATTCATATTCTACTGGCCCGAAAGAAAAAAAAATAGAAAATGTGTTTAATCAATTTTATTCACAAATTTGTTAACATATATTTTTATACCCTTTTAGATGGTATTATAATTTTGGTCAAAAGTGTGCAACGCAGTGAAGGAGACATCTCCGACCCTATAAAGTATATATATTCTTGATCAGGACCACCACCTGAGTTGATATAGCCATGTCCGTCTGTCTGTTTCTACGCAAACTAGTCTCTCAGTTTTAAAGCTATCGAATTGAAACTTTGCACACACCCTTCTTGCCTTTGCACGCAGTATATATGTTGGAACGGACGGGATCGGCCGACTATATCCTATAGCTGCCATATAACTGAACGATCGGAAAGGCCATAGCTTTGAAATTATTAAAGTTACGATGTTGGGATATTCTATGGGTTTTATTTTTGGCCAATCAATCCGACCTACCAAATTTCATAAGGATCGGCCGACTATATGATTGATTGATCAAAAATGCCATAACGGTGTTTGTAAAATTAGGAAGTTGGGATTTTCTATGGGTTCTATTTTTGGACAATCAATCCGACCTATTAAATTTCATAAGGATCGGCCGACTATATCCTATAGCTGCCATATAACTGAACGATTGAAATGCCATAATTTTGGTGTTTTTAAAGTTAGGAAGTTGGGATTTTTTATGAGTATTAAGAATGCATCATATGAATAATTTTGGAGAATATAATGTACATAATATTCTGCAAGGGTATATCAACTTTGGCTCCGCCCGAAGTTAGCTTTCCTTTCTTGTTTATGCTTCCATCGGTTATAATGTATATTTATACCCTTGCAGAGGGTATTATAATTTTTATTCAAAAGTGTGCAACGCAGTGAAGAGATGTCTCCAACTCTATGAAGTAGATATATTCTTGATCATGATCGCCTCATGAGTTGATATAAGCATGTGCGTCCGTCTGTCCGTCTGTCTGTTTCTACGCGAACTAGTCTCTCAGTTTTAAAGGTATCGAATTGAAACTTTGCACACACCCTTCGTTCCTTTGCAGTAATAGTCGGAATGGCCGGGATCGGTCGACTATATCCTATAGCTGCCATATAACTGAACGATTGGAAGTGCCATGACTTTGTTGTTTTTTAAAGTTAAGAAGTTGGGATTTTATAAGAGAAGAATGCATCATATGAATAATTTTGGAGATAATAATTTACAGAATATTCTGCAAGGGTTTGTTTTTAAAGTTTTTAAAGTTAGGAAGTTGGGATTTTTGGGGTTTTATATTTGGCCAATCAATCCGACCTACCAAATTTCATAAAGATCGGCTGACTATATCCTATAGCCGCCATATAACTGATTAATCGGAAATGCCATAACTTTGTTGTTTTTAAAGTTATGAAGTTGGGTTTTTCTATGGGTTTTATTTTTGGGCAATCAATCCGACCTACCGAATTTTATAAGGATCGGACGACTATATCCTTTAGCTGCCATATAACTGAACGATTGGAAATGCCATAACTTTGTTGTTTTTAAAGTTAGGAAGTTGGGATTTTTTATGAGTATTAAGAATGCATCATATGAATAATTTTGGAGATAATAATTTACAGATTATTCTGCAAGGGTATGTCAACTTCGACTCCGCCCGAATTTAGCTTTCCTTCTATATGTTCAAGATAAAATTTCGGATAAATCCTATGATAGTCGTTCCATTTTTAGTAACCCGAATATCTGAAAATTTTAAAAAATGTCTATGTACGGAGTGAATGTTTATGTGTATATTGTCCGTATGAAATATACCTGTAATAGAAAGTGGAATGCTTCTCTAGAATGCTTTAAAACAGACTAGTTTTCAAAGAAACGGACAGAAAGGCAAACATGGCTGGATTGACTCAAGAATACAAATTGTTAATATATAATGTAAAATTAAAAATAAAAATAATAATATAAGTAATATTATCCAAATTATATGTAAATGATTACACCTTTATTTTTAACCTTGTTCGATATAAATGCCGTCAGACGTACAGATTTGATTTGATAGTTTTTGCTTCTCAAGAGTATAGTTTCAGTCAAGGGTAATGGGTATGTTTATTAAAATTCTACTATCATGTAAGACGAATTTTGAAGTACATCCCCATTTCGCGTTTTATGTTCGCAGTATAACGAACTGTATTTTTTGATATATTCTGAATGCTCTGTTAATTTAATTGTAACAAACATCCTAACTCACCTGTCCTTGCCCCCTCCCACTTGATGTGAGTCGGGTACAATGTTTATGTTGGCAGATATTTGTTAACTTTAATGTAATAAATAAATAAATAATAAAAAAGTTAAATAATATAAAGTTGTCACCTTACCGCAAGTGGATGACCCTAAACTGAATGAAATTAAGTCCCTTTGCTCCCTTTTGTTGAACCTTGACCCGCGACAAGGTTTAAAACCGATTAAAATAATTGTATGCCACTTTCATACCGAAATAAATTTACAAATTTTAGAGAAAAAGACCGAATTGTAATGCGAATTAATTAATCGAAATAGCCGCAAAATCAAATGATGCATGAATAAAATGCTAAACCGCTCGGCGTGCGAAACAATATTTGCAGATGCGAATCACTTGAGGTCAAATTGCATGCATATGTGTGCTAGTTGGCACTTCGGCCTATGACCTATGACCAGAGCAACCGCCATGACACTTGAAGGCAAATTAAATAGAAAATTTAGTTTTTTGGAAAGTCATCCCAAAATGGTTGTGAAATTTTATACATAATTGAATTTTTGGTCAAGCACACACAGGCACATCTCTGCATACAATTACCTAAAACCTAAACACATAGACAGCTGAGGTCAGGTCAGCGAGGGGTGGTTCCAGGGGGTGGGGCGTGGCTCGTGGCTATTGCACCACACGCCAAACAATCGGAAACCGAATGTCATCTTCAATTTCAAATTCAATTATAAAACAAATTGGTTTGAGAGCAAATAAGCACTCGCACAAGCAGATAAATTCGCAAGTGGGTGGTGGGTAGAGATGAGAATGGAGACGACTCATTCTCAAGGCGACATCAAACGGCAAATCCATTCATCC